CCTGCCTCAAGGAGCAGAGCAAGCGGGCACAGATTTGTGCATTTATTGCACAAGGCAGGTAACTGTCACGCGGGACTGTGACCCTTCACTGGGGTAAAATGTGCCCTTCATCTGTCCAGCTGCACACACCAACACGGACAGCAAATGGGCTGTACGAATTCATGTTTTGTCTTTATAGCAGCGACTTCACGGCACCAGTGTAAAGGACTGCTCCAGCCCCTAGAGCACAGCAACTGAAACACAGACAAACACATGCACAGAGCACAGTGTTGAGGGGCCATTTGGACAGACAGTAAAACTTATTACACACCAGACAAGGAATTTCTCAAAGGAATACGCACATTCATTTCCTACCTGGGCTCTCACACACCCAAGGAAACGCACAGAGAGCAAGTGCCCCAAAGCAAAGATTAATTCTCTTCTCTCCAACAGCAACTGAGGGCTGAATTTTAGCTCAAGATATAGCAGCCTTGTTAAGATTAGCTGGAAAGGCCTTTCCCCTGCAGCCCCTGTACACATTTGGAGCCGCGAATGCCACACACTTACAGGGTGTGCAACTCTATGGTGCTGTGACTTCTTCCAGGGTGTAACTCCTGCGTGCTAAGCTGGTAGCCCCCTCCTCAGCACGTCTTCACTGCGACACGCTGGGAAGCTCAGCTAAGAGGGGCACAAGCACTACGGGGTCTGCTGGACAGATTCCTCTCGGTTCCAGCGCAGCAGAGATGTCTCTGTTTCCTAGAAGCCTCTTTACACCACCGCTACCTGTGTGCTCTCGAGGTCATGCTGGTTGAGGAACCTTTTGTTTGGTAGCAGCACGGATACTGCCTGGGGTTGGGGGGAATATGAGACAGAGGAGCTGAAGGAAAGAAGGGACAGATGGGTCCTCCCACTCTCCCTCCTGCCTGGGGGTTTAACAGGGGAAAAGAAACCAAAACAAAAGCCACGCTTGAGTGCTATTCTTTGCGCTTTAAAAGAGTATTTTCCTAAAATATAAAAACAATCTTCCCCCTGGAAACCGCTAGAACGTAAACAATAAAAAGGGGATTTGGGGAGGAGAAGGGAGAGGAGGTTTGAATGTGCTTCCAGGCAGCAGCCCTTGCTAAGAGCAGCGGGTGCCTCCAAGGCCCTGTGCTCACCGTCAGCCCTGTTCCTATGGCTCTCTTGCACATTTAGAGTTCCCCAGTGGGTCCGGACTTAGGATTCGGCGATTAGCGGTTCGCAGCAAATCCCGTCTGGTAGCTTAATCCTCTTCATCCTCACTGATGTCATAGGTGACTGCAGACTCGTTCCTGGAGCGATTGGCCGGTGAGGAAGGAGGAGTCTTGGTTGAAAACGGCCAGCGGAAGGAGGGAGACGGGGAGCGGTCGTGCGTGGGGCTACTGCTGGGACTCTGCTTTGGGCTGATGGCCTGCAGCATCCGGCCCTTGCCCTCCTTCAGCATGTGTTTCTAGCAATGAAAGCAAGAAAACAGTTAGCATAGCTAAAATAGCAATGGAAATGGACACTACTTACAGCTTGTGCAGCATTTTGAGTTGTGTCCCTTCAATGCTTCATCCAATATAAAGCAGAAAAAGCCCAAGCATCACTCTAGCCTTTGGAAACTGCATGCAGTATAATCATCACCCATTTTCAAGCACCTCTAGCATGAAGTGCCTATGATATTTACTCGACAGCACAGGAAAGGCTGGCAAAAACAAGTAGCTTCAGACTCATCCCAGGCCAGTGACAAAGGGACTGCCAATCTCTTGGCTGCTCAGTGGCCTGCAGGACACAAGCTGGAGCTTACAGGCCAGCTTGTGGGACACGGGGACAAACACAACTGGTGTTACCCAGCTGGCAAGGGTGAGGGCTCCCTGTAAACAGGTTGCTCAAAACTGGGACAACTTGTCTGGAGACTGGCATCAAGCACCGCAACAAACTCTAAACCTTTGCTGTGCAGAGCATGAGCTCCAGAAGCACCACAGTGACTGCCGAGCTCTCCAAAATCCCCTTTCCCCAGAGCAGCTCCTTACCAATGCTCCTTCTGGGCCAAACATCTCCAGGAAGTTGCCGATGAACTCCCGGGACTTCTCTTCCCACTTCTGAATAAGATCGATGCTCTTCTCCTCCACTTTCTGGACAAATTCCTTTGACTTCTCCTCTACATCCTTCACCCTCTTTTTCACCTTATCCACGCGCTCCTGGAGGTGATACTTCTTCTCCTGTACAGTAAGCGGTGGATCAGAATACACCTCACCAGATCTGAGTGGCGACCACCTCTGCTCTGTGTTATTACACTGAACTGCTGCTTAAGACTCAGCATCTCCATTAGTCTCGTGACACTTCTCCTTCACTTCAGTGACACTTCTTCCCTAGACTAAATGGCAGACACAGTGGGGCTGTGAGATGCTTTGTGGCAGGCACTGGCACAGTACATAGAGCAAGACTAAACCCAGATAAGCACTATCTAATAGGAGTGCATGGAAGAGGGAAATATTTATACAATATACAGATTAGATTTGAGAGACCTGCTGTCGGTCTCTTTGCCTATCACGATAGGCACAAGTCTTTTTGCCGGGTGTTTTTAAACAGAGGTAGAGTTACATGCCAAAGAGAGGTCAAGCAGACGTTACCTCTCCTGTTTCATTTTTGTATTTGACTGTATTAAAAAAATTAGGCATAGTATCTGAGTGATAAAAACCCCATGTTTACTACTTTACTTCCAACATCAGAAGTGCCTTCTGCCATGTATTCTGCTTGTGGGCTAGAGCTGCTCAGCACAGGACCAGAGCATGTCCTTCTTTCCTACCCAAGCGCTGCTGCTCCTGCAACTCCAGGAAGGCAACAGTACAGTGACAGCAAGATCAGATTTTACCCTAACAAATGACTCTACCTGAAGAAGGTGGCTGAGGGAAGAGGAAAGAGATGAGACACAGCAGCTGCTGCCAAGAACAACCGCCACTTCATTCAATTCAAGAAAACAAACATTTTGCCACACACCCTGTCTCCAGCTCTTTCAACAGGTAAAAGTCACCAAGACATTTCTGACAATGGAGCAGTATTCGCAAAACCCCAGCTCCTCTGGGTGGGTCCCAAAGGCAGTTCCAGGGGCAGAAGTAGTCTAATTTCCACTCGAAGGACACTGTTTTGGTGCAACTGCTTAGCTCTTCACACTGGCCTTTTGCTGGCATACGGCTGGACTGTGCTACCACTAGACAAGACTCTACATCTCCACACTCTATAAGATTCTGCTTCAGGCAGCTTGTGGTGAGACACACTTCAACTCACGTTTATGAAGCTGACGTTGAGCTCTTTAGCTGTGTAGCCCCGCTGCAGGTTCCGTCTGGCATAAACATCATAGTCCCGCACGATCCGGGTGATGATATCTGATGTTGAGATCCCCTCAGTCCTCTGAGTCGGCGCAAACATGCCTAAAGTTGGGGAACAGGACCCAGGACAGCTGTAGCAAGACACACAGCAAAAAGCTGCTGCCAGCTCTGGTAGGAAACAACCTCTCCTGTCAAGAGCTCATTTCCTAACTGTCCTCACACCACCATGTCTTTGTCCTTGAATGTCCAATACCAGGGTCCTCCTTTCTGGGACTATGAAGAAGACCTAAGAAAGACCTAAGTATGTCAAAACCATGTCAAAATATCATGTCTTCTATGAAAAGCTCTTCACTTTAGCTTGTTTAAAGACTAGTGACTATAATCCAGTGGATACAGAATAGTGTGGTGACGAGGACAGGACAAGGGGTCCTACAATTTAGTGGCTGGAAATACAACAAGCTCTGATGGCTGGGTTTGGATAGATTCAAATAAGCTGCAGCCCCACTGAGTTTCACAGCAAACAACTAGAGGAGCCACTCTGCTAAGTTCATGAGATTCTCCATTTGTGAGAATCTGTAAGCCAAACCGTAGTATTTTTTCAAAAGGTGGCTGTAAATTCAATCACAATAACTAGATTGGAAGTAGGAATTAATGCTGGGAAAGGCTTGGCCTGTGATGTGGAACAGTCTCAGCCTTATGAAGTAGGGCCCAAAGCTGTGCTTCTTTCTGCCCTCAGAACCTCCCGAGCAGACCTTGCTCGCCGAGGGCCACTGCCACTTCCCCAGGCGTAATCCTGCCATACAGGCACTGGAGAAACCACAGCAGATCTCAGACTGGAAGCCCTGGAGAATCTGACCCAGACCCACCTGCTTCTTTTATATGCTTATAAACATCATCACTGCCAGCAGAAGAATAGGGGATGTCATCGTGTGCAACAAAGTCGATCTGAAAATTAAGAAAGCAATGCGAGTCAACATTTTATCTTGAAGGTCAGGATAAAATGTCAAAGGAAGGTAACTTTTTGCTCAACACCTCCACACAGGGGTGTGACAGAGAACAGCAATACACTTTGCTCTGCTGAAAAGCAACACAGAGCAGTCCCAAGTTCTCACTAGCAATTGCGTATCAGTTGCAAGCACACATCAAAGAGGAAAGGCTGGGACTAAGAACACAGCTGTTTTAAGCTCCGCAGAGAAACAGCCTGTTAATGGCCCCAAGGGTAAACTAAGTAAACTCCTCTGGAGATTCCTTCACCTCCCAAAGCAGTTCAACAGACATTAGAGAATCCTTTCACTTTATCTTACCGACTGATAAAAGACTTTCAAGACAGCTTGCCTGGTCTCTGGCTGCAGGGAAGCTGATGTAGATCTAAAGCTGCTCCTGCTGTAAGCAGGGAGTTGAACCAGATGCCTTCCAGAAATCCCTTCCAACCCATGTTATTCTCTCCCTACTGTATGTTTCAGACTAATCTGTAACCAGCATCAACTTCTGGAACAGCAAGAACCCTCTCAGGATTTTTCACCATGTCACAATCTCTACCTTGTTTTAGTATTACCTGCCAGCTCAGCAAATGTTTTTAGTCTTCCAAGAAACCTACTTGATTCCCACAACCCAGCTTATTCTATATTTAAGGAGTTTCAATGGAAACTGGTTGCTCAGGCAGAGGTCATCCTCATGGATGAATTCTTGCTCTAAATAGCAAGCAGACAGAGGCTAGTCAAAATTCAGAACAGATCGGATATCACAAATTACCCTGTGCTCTGCCAGGAACTCGGGGGTGAGCGTCCATGGCGCATTTCTCACCACTTCGTCCACATAGCGACAGTGCTGCACAGCGTCATACCGCTCATTTTCATTCATCACCGTGAAGCCCTTGAAGTTATGTGTTAGCTCATCACTGCAGACTGAAGAAAGAGGCAGAGAAGAGTGAGTTTGAGGTGCTTATCCCAATGCTTTACAGCAAAAGGACCTTGCACACACCCCTGCTAAGCCAGGCAGTTCCAGCTCCTGATGGAGGCTGGTGCTGGCACTGCCAAATCCATCTCTTCCAGCCACAAAGGACCAGGAAAAGGGAGTAGTGCAGGGCATTAAACTCCTGAGCAATTCTAGGCAGGCTATTTGGGGGATTTCCGCGCAAGCTGGGGACCTACACCCCACGCCTGTGAGATCTCTGGAGTCTACAGTGCTTATCAAGAAAACCTGCCAATACAGAAGACAACCTTCCTGTATGAAATGGCACCTGAGGACCTATTGGGCAAATACCTGCTTTTAAACCCATGGATGTCTCCGGCTGGGAAACTCAAGCCCATGAAAAAACTCCACTGCCTAAGCTTCCCATTTCATAAAATGCCATACCACAGTCTAGTTCTTTGAAAGTTGTATTAAAACAAAGGGCGAGTTCACAGCAAATCAAGTTAGCTTAATTATATGTTCTACGAGAAAGTAAACGAACAACTCTTCATAATCTGCAATGTAAGACATTAAGGAGAGAGTTTTATTTGGTTATCAGACTCAAAAGTAAACAAGAAATTACCAATCTCACTGGTATCGGACATATTTATGTTCTAGACAAACAGATGATACAGAGCGGGTGAGATTGCTCCCAGCTTGGAGCTAATGTTCACTTAGGCTGTGGCCTCTTGTCTTTCAGTTCCTGGTGCAAGGGGATCAGTTCATTCCCCTCCACCTCCTCGCCAGTCTCCCAGAGGCAGAGAGCATGATTACACACCTTGCTACATTAACATGTTAATAGTTTGACCTGAAGTTATTTTCCTGTCTGATGTACAACATTTACATGCATGGGGATGTCTTTCCACTTCCAAGATGTCTAAGCTCAGAGCATTTTGTAGATTGGAGCAACTATTTCAGCTCTCCTCCCTCCCTTCCCCTTCCAGACACTACTGTAGCACGCAGAAAAAATGCAGAAGTACCACTACAAAAATGCCCTCAGCAGCGAGTGAAACCATGATAAGGAAACAAACCACATGAAGACGTTATGATCACTCTGTCACAGGATCTGAGTTCCGTTTTGCTTCAGGAAGTTAATGGTAGTTGAGAAAACTAGTTAAAGGCATTCTCAGCTCTAATACTTTAACATCATTATGCAGCCTGACCAGAGGTCACCTCCTGATAGACAACATGCACAGCCCGAAATGTCTTTAAGGTGGGTGAAGGTACAGGCACAGAGGCACTGTGTGGACAGAGGCCAGCATAACACAGCAGCCAAAAGATAGGGTTTCTTCTTTCCCGTTATATTCCTGAAGGAGGCTTGGCTGAAACACCTCAGCTACATTCCCCTCAGGCAGTCAGCAGGATATTTCTGGCATCATCTAAAGACCTTTGAACCTAAGAGACAAAATGGGGAAGCTTTGTTTGCAGAAACAGGGCCCCACTGATTTCCATGAGGCCGGGCACCATGCCCAAGGAACCACCGTTATCTCCACGCTCCGAGCATGACCTGTTTGGGATTAGCTATAAGCAATGCTCAGCGGAGAGTTGGAGTGGGGTCAGGGGTTGACTCGCTGGGCGATACAGATGCCACAAAGCTCAACCAGCCACGGAGGGACAGTTCCTCATTCGTTAACCGTCTCATTGAAGAGGCAGAGGCTCAACTGCCTCTAATATATTCTGACACTCAGACATGCAACTCGCCAGTATCTGTCACAAAATAGAGGGGTCAAGTTAGAACAGCCACATCAGAAATGTCTTCCTGAAGTGCTCGTTTGGTACAGGATATCTTTCTGCAGACACATTAACTCTCAAAATATTGCAGTAAGACTCCAAGAGCATTTGGGATCGAGTGAGAGCCACTAAGGGCATAAAGACAAAAACCCTGCTATGCCATCTGTATGCACAACCACAGATGGAGGTAAAGTGTACTCCTACAACAGCCAAAGTCAACAAGGTCACTCCTTACCTCCAACAATGAGGTATGTGTTTGGGAAGAGGTTCTTCGCTTGCATCAAGGCCCGGGCATGTCCAGAGTGAAACAAGTCAAATATTCCATCAGCATAAACTCTGACGGGGCGATCCACTGTGCCAAAGAGACAAAGAGACATTTGTGAAGATGCGTTCCTGAGAAGCAGCTGTTGCTCATGCCCGCATTTGGGGACCTTCTGAAACTCATGGGGGCGTTGCAGAAGACTGGCAGAATGCAGAGCCATAGCCAGGAAAGATTTGTGAGAAGAAGGCTGGCGCTCTGCCTTCCCACATGGAAACAAATGCTGCTGAGTGCAGAGCCGCAATACAACCATGTTCAAAGACAGATTCAAAACCTGCCACGTACCCACCAAAACAAGGTGGAGGGAGACCAAGGGGAAAGCAAACCCTGGACATCTCCCTCCTACGGAAATCCAAATGCAGCATTGACTTTTTGCACAGCAGTGAGCTACCAGAGGGTAACTGACCAAAATGTTTCAGGGGTGCCCAGTTTCCCCCTGCCAGCCACGATGGCATCTCAAGACCTTTTCAGCATCCTCCCCTGCAGCCTGCTGCCACAGCTACCAGTGTGGCTGAGGGACTAGACTCTTCTGATTCCCCACCAGCATCATTAGCTCCCCCCCAGGCCTGGGAAGCGTGTGACTGTATCCAAAAATCCAGCTGGACAACTGAAAGAAAAGCAGATAAAATTCTGCTGAGCCACTGGCACTATCAGCTAAATCCATAGATAAATAAGGAGGAACAAGTTTTCCTCGGGCCACCTATGCCAGGGGAAATTGTAGCTCTTCTCTTTTTGGTCACCACAGAGGTAAAGTGAGATAGTGTAGCAGTACCATGTAATAGCAGGCGGCTCCCTGACTTCTGGTCTCTTGGGACTGCACAGGACTCCAGCTCTCTTGCTGCTGGTAACAGAAAGCCACACATTCCTGGTATCCAACACACTTGGGAAAGGCCTGCTGCTCTCTGGCCCAATTCAGGCAGACAGTTTCAGAGGAGTGGTGTGAGCAGAGGCACACCAAAGCCGCAGCGATAGAGGGGGAAGAGATAAGACCTAGCAGAAGATCTGAAACCCCATGGGTCTGAGCAGGGCCCTGAAGGTTCCCAGAGACAGAGTCTGGGAGGCAGCAAGAGGCAGAGTCGATGCAAAGGCAGGGTTGTTAATTTCCAGCTAAAGAGAGCAGTGAGTTTGAGGACAGCCTCTAACAATCACTTTTCAGCAAGTCCATCTCAGCCTGACGATGTCAGGAGGCTCTGGAGAGCCAGGGATCTGGAGATCTGAGGCTGCATAAGCTTTCTGTATGCCAGAAGAGGGCTGGTCCTGGCAGGCCTTTATTAAAGTGCAATCACGTTCTGGAAATTGGCTGGGACATCCTTTCCTTTTCCGCCACACCTGCAGCAGCTACAGATCCCGAGCACAGGCATAAACAGCAACAAGGAGGCATGCAGTGTGTTTTAGTCTTAGCAGGCAGGACAGCCATCACTGTTGAAATCAGAGACCTTTGTGCAGGCTCTGGAGACTTTCAACTGGGAAATTAACACGGACTGTGAAAAGCATTGGATTTCCAGAACCTTCTACAGGAAACCACTGCCAGGTCTCAATCTGAGCTGGCTCATCTCTCAGCGGCAGTCAGGTAGGTAGAAGTGCAGCATTTTTATTGTCTCTGTTTCCATAACAGAGAGGCCAAGTAAGACAGCATTGTCTGCACACTCTGGCAAGAGAGGGCAGCCATCCTTCTGTCAAGGGTCAGTTCTGCCTCTGCCTCCTCTCTGGACTTGCAAAGAGAACAGTGTTTCTCCTAGTTTGGTTTAGAGAATAAAAGGACATGTTCTTGTTGTGGGGCTGGCCTGCTGTGTTTAATGACACTGACTTTAATCCAAATCCAGATTAGAATGGGACATTCTGGACAAAGACGTATGTTGGTTTTATTTGCCCATTTTAAGTTCCGGAAGAGATGACTTTTAAAGTGCTTAACTTTAAGGTACCTCAGACAAAGTAGTGCAGAAAAATGTTAAGCGCTGATACTACTCTATAGCTGTCAGTGGCACAGGAAGAGCTAAACCACAAATATCTATTTGGTTCAAATAGTCTTACTGGTAAAGGTACAGCTCCTCACACACAAAGACTCCAATTTCAGTTGTACTGGCAGGCCCTGTTTCACATGGAACAGTTATCTAATCACCAGAGCATTAACTAAGTCATTGGCTGCAAACCCAGTCTGATACACAAGGTTGGATCAGTCTCAGAGATATGAAAATCATACCCTCCCTCTCCAGAACTCAACATTTACACAACCCTTCCCGTCTGGTTTTACTTACAAGGGGTCCCTCTCATCGCTTCTTCATATGTTACTCTGATGTATGGCTTGCTGTAATCGATTTCCACTTCATCTGAAAATGGAGCCGGTTCCCTCAGTCCCTAAAGAGCCAGAGAAGGTTAGCTGTGAGAACGCAAAGGTGAGTGCACTACATAGTGGCAGCACTGCAACTGCAGTGTCCTAGTCACCGAGTGACTCACTGTGCCTCTGCACAATTCAAACACATGTACTGAAAGACTAATTAGCGTTAAACCTCAAAACAGCCCTGCAGGGCTATTAGCCTGAGGTACGGAGAGAGAAAATTCTACTTAAGAAGGTGGCGGTCATACTGGACCCAAGAAAACTGGAGGTTCAGGTCTGCAGCTAGTAAAAACAGACTTTTGACAAACAGCCGTTCACAGCAACACAAGCCAAGCTTCATCAAACCTCGCTGTCGCAGCTCCAGCTATGCCCACCCAGGCAAGACCATCAGTTTGCTGTGCTTGACTGCTTCTGCTGTGATGTACAAATTGTAACAGCTCCTTGATTTGAGTATATGAACAAGCAGAAGAGCAACACCACCAGCAGCCCAAATTCCCAGGAAACATGTATATTGTCACCTATTTCTGAGCCACACGTGGTGAAAGACTGACCTCAACCTGTGGCAGAATATCTCCAGCTGCTGCAGGAAAACCCCTCTAATCTGCTAGCTTGACCACAGTGGTATGTTTAACCAGCAGCTGAAGTCCAGATATCATTTCTGGTCTCCCCTGAATGTAAACAAAACATCTGCCCTTCCCATAAGAGAACAAACAGCTCAATTTCCTTCTAGTAGGAAGATGTGGGGCAGCAATGGATGTCTTTCTTTTGAGCCAGAAGACTAGGAAACAAACGTGCAGGTCATTACAATAATACCTTCACGCTGCAAGAAGCTAATCAACAGTTTCCTCTCTGGCTCCCTGTCCCACTGCAGCATCCTGCCACAGTGCCCAGCACCACTGCAACCAGAAAGACCAACCACTGCTATTATTGCTAACGTCATTCCTTATTAGAGTGCTCAAAGTGAAGGAGAGCAACCACTGACCACTACAGCATTCAAGCAAACTGATACTGTCAAAAATCTCCTTTAACTTACTGAGGCTCCAGTACCCACATTTCACACACCACCTCCTCTACCGGGATCCTTACTGTTAGGTTAAGGCCTGCAGGTCTCTCCTTTCATCACTGCTATCACATCTGGGACTTGTGAATAAAACCAGATTCTTTGCAGTTTGGTTGTCACATACCTGATAAGAAGCTAGGAATGAAAGCATTAAAAAAACCTATCAAAGTTATCAGAGGATCACAGAGAAATGCCCTCAAAAGCTCCTACCACAGTCTTGCCCTTCCTCTGAAGCACCTACGAGGGTCGGGACTCAACCTGATGTGTACAACAAAACAGGCTTATGTGTTGTTACTACCATCTGCTGCCGAGCCCCCCTGCTTTAGGGGAACACTCTGCCAGCCAGCTCTTTAGTTGGGAGCGGTAAAAGCTTCAAGGCAATGTCAGTTAGGCAACGCTATTACTCTTGCTACAATAAATAAAACATTCACGAAAGGAAGAAAAAAGGAATCTTTCATCAGGTTGTCTACGTTAGTCCTGTGGCTAAAAAACAGCCAGGAAGTTTAGAAAGTGGCTAGATATTACTTGTGTTGTGCTGTTCATAGACAGAAGCTTTATTTCTAACACAGGACAGACACCAACTTGAAGAGCAAGTGATTCCCATAGGATAACCTGTGCACTTCTCTTTCCGTACTGAAATACACAAGGTTTTTAAGAGGGACAGGGTGGATTGTGACAACAATCACGGATATTAAGGTTCTGTGGGCTAAGTCATGCATCAGTTCAAGCCTCCATTCCCAAAGCTTCCCTCCCCAATTCTCACTGCTGGCACTGCTTTTACTTTGTTACCATCTGTCAAATGCCCTGGGACAGGACTGAAGAGCAAAACGTTATTATCAAAGAGGAAGGCTGCAACACGTCACCGTATTTTGCCAAGGACTATGACCCCAATGTGACGTGGCAGGGATGGTAGCTGGCTTTTGACAGAGATAAGGAAAGAGCAACTAGAGTACAGGTGATATGCAGGACAGCTCCAGGAAGAGGGCAGAGAAGAGCTGTAAAAAGCCCATCATTGCAATATTGTGGTAAGGACAAGTTAAAGTCAACTCTTGACACTGGCATTAACTGGCAGACCCCCTTTAGAAGAGAACCCACTTGCTTTAGCTTGTTAAAGCTGTCCCAAGGTCGATCTAGAAGGAGAAATTCTTTTACTTTTTTTGTTGTTTTGTTTTTTTTTTTTAATGAACACTCCTGAAGCATCAGCAACATAAATGCAGTCTTCTGCCAGACCATGAGAATCAAACTAACAGTCATCTTCCCAGTGTTTCAGAATGTGGATTCAATAGTTTGCTTCTGCAGGTGCTTACAGACTTCAGACCCTCCTGCAGCCTCTCTGACTTGAACAGGACTGCCTTCTGCTAGGTGCATGAGTTGTTACATGCTTGTTTGGATTATTCTTCCCTCCTGCTGGGTCACTTAAGAAAACCCACCTGTGAGAAATGAATGCCTACTTCTCCACGGATATCTATATGCACGCCTGTTCGGGTTCAGCTTAAGGGACTACAAACAAGCTGGACACACCACAAAAGCAGCTTAGCAATGCTGGCCTCAGACCTAATTTAAGCTCACATTGTAAGTATGTTATTAGTACGACCAAAGGAAGATTTTAAACTGGCTTTGCAAGAAGGATAGCTACTGTCATTTGCTTCTTCCC